ATTTGATTGTGGTAGATTTATTCAACGTTACGCATTTTTTTGGCGCTTTGATTTCATTTTGCTTGAATTAGGGCACTATGTATGACATGGGTACAGACTGGGGACATAGGCTATAGTTGCGGCAATATGTTTTCCACTCTTAATTTGTGGCTTTGTCGTTCTATAAGTTTAAGAGTCCAATAATATGGGTCAGTTTCGTAAATGGGATTGGCTGTGGTCTAGCGATGTTAGAGGGCATGGTACTGTGGTGGTACAGTCGCGCACACCGCACCACTGTCAAACATACGGCGTATGTCGCTATGAATAGATCCGTAAATGGGATTGACTGTGGTCTAGCGATGTTAGAGAGCATGGTACTGCGGTGGTACAATAGTGCACATCGTTTCATTATAAAACATGCGGCGTATGCCGTTATGAATAGATCCGTAAATGGGATTGACTGTGGACTAGCGATGTTAGAGAGCATGGTACTACGGTGGTACAATAATGCACATCGTTTCATTATAAAACATGCGGCATATGCCGTTATGAATAGATCCCTAAATGAGATTGACTGTGATCTAGCGATGTTAGAGGGTGTGTCACCATGGTGGTATGGTGGCACAGCAGCGCACACCGCTTTACTGTTAAAAACACGGTGAATGTCGTTATGTGGGCTACGTGTGTCGTTGTACACATCCGTCAAGTGGTCATACGGACTGCCTGTTCCATCATATGAATGTTCCATATGTCACGTGCATCGCCCATCTCCTCACATTTGGCCCCAATTCCTTCTGATTTTCACACATCGTCTTCGTTGATGTGCTTCTAAATATGATATGCGCATACTCACTCATTTCATCACTTGCAGAGCTCGGGGATGCAGAAGCGGGCGGTCAGGATCACGATTTCGAGAAGCAGTTCGGTAGTAAAGTCAAATACCAGGGCCAGCAGCCAGTGAGATTGCAGGATTTTGACCAGGAACCAATGAATATGGAGATAAATTGTGTGCACGAGGCAGAAGATCGAAGGCTGATGCTAAAGGATGATTCCGTTGCCGCGGCTAGCAGTGGAATTGCTGGGATGTCATTGCTGGCTGACGATTACCCGGTAAGTTTGTTCACACACGGACTGAGTAGTATTGCGAACAAGTTTTAGATACTGCGTCCTGAGCAATACCACTTGTAAGTATTCTATGTTATACACCCCTGCTCGTATATATCTTATTGATACAATGGTTATGAATACATGCACAATACACCGACAGAAACAATGCAGTCAACTGGCTTGTGCGTTGTGACTCCTGGTTAGTCGCACGCTATTAGTTAGTATGATTGAAGTACAAAGTATATCGAATGTATCGCGTTAGTTATCGATTTGTCAAAAAAAAGAAATTTGCAGCTACCAGCATGCGGGTATATAAATGTTATCCTGGGAGCGTATTACCTCGCCAATGAATTATAGTCTACGGGTTGATATGCATTGAAGCCATGTGACAACAAGGCTATAATCCGCGCGCATTTGATGCGCCTTCGCAATTGCCAGGTGGTTATCGTCCGACATCTCTAGCCAAATATCATTATCGTGGGAAATTATAGTTGTCAGATCATAGTTACCGAAGTTTGATTTTTCACCTCACGACTGTGTCTGATAGGGGTGAACGTCGATAAATGAGCGGTCAAAGCTGTAACCACGCTATCTTGCAGACTTACTCGGCTAGCCCTGTTATTTTGCGACCTGTCATTTGGTGCGCCACTATTGCAATTCTTCCGTACATCGTACAAGTAACTTCACTTACCGTTCATTACCTCAAACGACAATGTTCAGAATACTATGAATTAAACAAATCTGGCCAACACTTTGTCGATACTGCCCACTAACCCATATAAGTATATGCTTTTTCTTCTGTATGCAGGAGTACGAAGAAATCGATCATCTGTGGCTAGGTCGAAAATGCGCTACTTTTGCGCAATCCAATCCAAATGTGGATGCGCTCGGCGGATTGGAGTACTTAGTTCCCACTGTGTTCAAAGTATGACTTTCGAGTCCGAATTTAGAAGACTCATATATATATATATATATATATATATATATACGACACACACACACACACAATATATATACTACA